ATGATTAACTAGAGGAAATATGAGGAAAAATAATGTTGATCTTAAAACAAATAAACAGGATAAATAGACTGGCATTAATTAATTATACATGCTTGGCTCATGTTGCACTTAAGAAATTGTATTCAGTTAATCATATTCTGATATTTCAAAAATGTTGTTAAAATATACAGTGACAATCTTACCCCAAATTTTATTTCATTCCTGAGGACAGAAACCATGTACCTGGTTATAAAAAAATTGAGAAATGCGTACAAATAGAACCCTGAGTCTTTCACTTTCTAACACTGTTTAAATTATTTTTTTTCCCATTTACTTATTTTATTGCATTTTAGGTTTTGGGGTACATGTGAAGAACATGCAAAATTGTTGCATAGGAACACACGTGGCAGTGTGATTTGCTGCCTTCCTCCCCATCACCCACATCTGGCATTTCTCCCCTTGCTATCTCTCCCCAGCTTCCCACCCCGCATCGTCCCTCCCCTATTTCCCCCCAACTGACCCCAGTGTGTAGTTCTCCCCTCCCTGTGTCCATGTGTCTTTTTGAGAAATGTCTGTTCATATCCTTCACTCACTTTTTGATGGGATAGTTGGTTTTTTTCTTGTAAATTTGTTTAAGTTCTTTGTAGATTGTAGATATTAGCCCTTTGTCAGTTGGGTAGATTGCCAAAATTTTCTCCCATTCTGTAGGTTGCCTGTTCACTCTAATGATAGTTCCTTTTGCTGTGCAGAATCTCTTTAGTTTAATTAGATCTCATTTGTCTATTTTGGTTTTTGTTGCCATTGCTTTTGGTATTTTAGTCATGAAGTCCTTGCCTATGCCTATGTCTTAAATGGTGTTTTTAAAAATATTCTGCTAATTTTAACTATATTATAAAAATTTTAAAAGAATATTAATGAACACATGTATTTCTTACAGCCAGCACAGGAAATAGAATATAATCTAGTTGTTCTTTCTGTGTATTTCTGTTAGTCCTGCTCTCCCAGAAGTTAATAGCAATCTGAATTTCTGTTAAGGAAATTTCTTTCTTTGATTTTTTACCACCTGTAATTTTACATCTTTATATATTTATTTGGTCTATGGGTGTCAGACATGTGGATGATTTCTAATTACTGTTATAAACATTCTTCTGCACATCACTAGGGGATCACTTTAAGAGTTTCTCTAAAAAGATATATTTAGGAGTAGAATGCCAAAGAGCTTTCCAAAATGAAATGATTATGACAAATATATTCACACCCTCAGCAGATGATATTTCATAGCACATTCCATTCTTCGACAATTTATATAGACATCCTTCTTAATATCTGCCAATCTGATGGTATGTAAATGTATATATTGCATTATAAAACTTTGGTCCCTGATTACTAGTTAAGTTAAGCATCTTCTAATATGTTTAATGACAATTTAGGTTTCTTCCCTTGGAAAATTTATGCTATTTTATTAGTTCAGTTTCTTTTGACTATTTGGACTTTTATAAAATTGATTCATAGTACTTCTATATGTATTCTGGATACTAATATTTTCTTGTTAAGGTGTCCTGCAAACATATTCTCCTAGTTTGCAGGTTCTCTTTTTACTAGCTGTAAGCCATTTTCTTGATAAAATCAATGGCTTCCTTTAATGTGACTTATCAAAACTCCCTTTTATAATTAAAGATTGTTGTGTCTTACTTAGAAATAACATATTACCTTTAATTTGTCTTTGATTTTTTATGTTTTTTTTCACTTTTAAATCCTTAATTCACCTAGAATTGATTCTTGCTCATGACTGAGATAAGAATTCAATTCCCTTCTACTTTTAAAAAACACAAATAGCCACTTGTCCCAGGATCACTTATTTAACAGTTTATCATTCCCTCACTGTCCTACAGTGCCTCTCATATGGCCCCTGGTGACTCCCACTTTCTAAAATTCATACTTTGTATAATCACTTGCCCGGATTTAGTGACTTAGCTCTACTCAATAGAATGTGGTTCTACTGAGTAGAGGTGATGAAGCATTACCAGATTAGCAGATTAGATTATAAAAGGTAGTGCCTTCCATCTTGAGTGCACTGGCTCTATCCTACTGTCTCTTGGTTTGATTGCCTTGGGAGAAGCCAGCTCCTATGTTGTGACACAGTTCTGTGGACAGGGCCAGGCCTGCTAGTAGCCATGTGAGTAAGCTTGGAAATAGATCCTTCACCTGTCAACCCTTCAGAGGAGACCACAGCCCCAGCTGGCAGCTTGACTGTAACCTCATGAGAGACTCTGATCCACAGGAACTGAGTTAAGCTGTGCTTGGGTTTCTGAGTCTTGTAAAATTCAAGATCAAGGTTCCAGAGGTTTTACAGCAGGGTTTAGTTTCTGGATCTTAGAGACAGGGCTGTGTTTTTGCTGTGTTCTCACATGGAGGGGTAAAGGGAGAGAAAAAGACAACAGACAGAGAGAAAAACATAGACACACACACACACACAGAGAGAGAGAGAGAGATCGATCTGATGTCTCTCCTTTTACAAAGATACCAGTTCTACTGCCTTGGGGCTTCACCTTTACGGTCTCATTTGACTTTAATCACCTTCTTAAAGGCCCTAGTTTCAATACAGTTATATGGGGTGGGTGTGTTAAGAGTTTCAACATGAATTTTGAAGAAACACAATTCAGTTCATGGAAAGAACTATGAAGAACTTAAAATATTTAAAATTGGATATTTTCAAAAGTCTGAAATATGTGGTTGTTATTTCTCATTCCAATAATATAGCCTGAAATTGAGTAACTGGTTTCTACATATGTCCTAGAATTGTCCTATACCATTCACCTTTTTTCTCCCTTCCCTAGGCCAATCTTAGAGGCAGAAAATAGAGATTTAGCTCCCTCTTGTTCCTATCCAGCACTGTCACAGGGGGAAACATCACCATACTCTATTTCAACTAGACCATTTACTTACATCTAATTACTCCCTTTGCTCAACAACCTCCTTGAATAGGACTCATTCAGGAATGGGGTCCCAAAGGCTCCAAGAGTATTTAAATTTCCATGTAGGAGAAAGTAATGTAGCTATCAGTGTCTTGGAAAATATCTTTGCAGAAGGCATAGGCACATGCTCCTGCATTTCACTTAGTTGGAGTTTATTTAGTTAAGAAGAAAGCTGTCCAGATCACAGGTGTAGATTCCAAACCTCTAGTATCGTATCAAAGGAAAATTCGACTGATTGAATGATCAGACTTCCTCTTTGTAAGTTACATAAGTGCCATCTTTGCCTCTTTTCTTTCTTCTTTCTTTCTCTTTCCCTCCTCCCTCCCTCCCTTTCTCTCTCTCTCTCTCTCTCTCTCTCTCTCTCTTTCTTTATTTTTCTTTCTTTCTCTCTTTCTTCCTTTCTTTTTGGGAAACTGAGTCTCTTTCTGTTGCACAGGCTGGAGTGAAGTGGTGGGATCTTGGCTCACTGCAACCTCTACCTCCTGGGTTCAAGCAATTCTCCTGCCTCTGCCTCCAGAGTAGCTGAGATTACAGAGGCCCTCAGTTCTTTTTTATGCTCCTCTTTTACGCTTTGTGTATCCAGTGAAGAGGAAAATTGGGAGTCCTCAGATCACCTGAGGTCAGGAGTTCAAGACCAGCCTGGCCATCATGGTGAAACCCCATCTTTAAAAAAAATAATAAAAAATAAAAAAAATAAAAGTGTTTTCAGAGTTCAGGATGAACAGAGTGTGGAGCTACTGGCCACAAGAATAGCTGTTATTTGCTTGGTTTATCTTTGAGCCCATTGTGCTGGCCCATCGGCTCACAAACCCCATTCTTACTATTACACTTAATCATCAGGAATTTGGACTTGATTTTATATTATTAAAATAACAGAAGCTCTAAATGAGGCTATAAGTGGATACCTTCAGTTTGATTCTTTCTTCAATGTATGACAGCCAGGACATTTTTGGAAGCAGTGTAGATTATATGTAGTGTTTGTCTTGGGTCTGATTGTCTTTTGAAACACAATGCAGAGCTTCTTCTGGAGTGCAGGTGACATGGATGTAAACAGAGAAGTTCTAAATATACAGGAAATGGGGCAAAAGATAAACAGGTAGATGATCAAGCTGCTTTAGGAGATAGTGAGAAGAAATTGCTATCTGATAGTACCACATAAACTCTTGCACAAGATGAGTGATATCCAATTCTTGCCAGGCAATGAGTAAGCTATCTTATTTCCTTCATCAAATGTTTATTGAAAAAGTACTCTGCCAGGCACTGCTCTTTGCACTGAGAATATAATTGTAAACAAAAAAAAATATTTAGTCTCTTAGATGTTATATTTGTGTGTTTGTGGCGAGACAGCTGGAAACATATTGGTTTTCCATTGCTTACTAAGGTGGAGGAGGATCATTTTAAGAGCCTGATGATGTCAAAAGAAAAAACATGGTTAATACCAGGGCAAGGTCTGACAAGGCCAGGAATGCCATGATCCATCACAGATGGATCTATCCAGATGTGGGGAAACACTGTTGTTTAAAAAGAGAAAAAAAAGAATGCAAATGCCTATTCTACCATGTACTAACTGCCTTAATTTAGGAGAGTCACATACCCTTCCTACTGCTCAAATGTAATCTTTTCTATAGATCTACCACAAAGAGTTACTACGAGGATTAAATGAATGAAGATCGTGTTGTATAAGTATTTTGAACTGCAAAGCAGTGCTCAACCTTTATGATTCCCTTAAAAAGCATAGACATATAATCCCACGTTGTCATTAATAATGGCTCACAAATATGATGATTCTCAAACTGTGGTTTACATCTTCAGTGATTAAAAAAAAAAAGTCCCCAAATGATCCTGATGTTTTATTTCCTTCTACCCTGGGAGGAGGAGCATATGTTTGGGTGGATCCTGCCCTCCCTCTAAAAATTTTTGCTCTAACGTTGTAAGAATATTGTTTTAATAATGGGTGTCTGTATTTCAAATAAGTATAACAAAAAAATTTGCTAAGGAAACTTAGTTGGTTATGGCAGTTACAGCCTAAGGATAATGCCTTGTAACTTGAATCACAAGCAGTCTTTCCACAACTTACAAGCAAATCATAGTCACTTAATTGACAAATTTTATCTCCCCAGTATGTTCACTTGATTGACAGCAAGCCAAGGCATTCTTCCATGACCTCAGCCTCCTCTTCCTCCCCTAGAACTGGCTTCCATGGAGGTGAAGAACTGCTCTGTGGTGACAGAGTTCATCCTTTTGGGAATCCCACACACAGAGGGGCTGGAGATGGTACTTTTTGTCTTATTCTTGCCCTTCTATGCCTGCACTCTGCTGGGAAATATGTCTATTCTTGTTGCTGTTATTTCTTCTGCTCGCCTTCACACACCTATGTATTTCTTCCTGGGAAACTTGTCTGTGTTTGATATGGGTTTCTCTTCAGTAACTTGTCCCAAAATGCTGCTCTACCTGATGGGACTGAGCCGACTCATCTCCTACAAACACTGTGTCTCCCAGCTCTTCTTCTTCCATTTCCTTGGGAGCATTGAGTGCTTCTTGTATACGGTGATGGCCTATGACCGCTTCACTGCCATCTGTTATCCTCTGCAATACACAGTCATCATGAACCCTAGGATCTGTGTGGCCCTGGCTGTGGGCACGTGGCTGTTAGGGTGCATTCATTCCAGCATCTTGACTTCCCTCACCTTCACCTTGCCATACTGTGGTCCCAATGAAGTGGATCACTTCTTCTGTGATATTCCAGCACTCTTGCCCTTGGCCTACGCTGACACGTCTTGGGCCCAGAGGGTGAGCTTCACCAATGTTGGCCTCGTATCTCTTGCCTGCTTTCTCCTAATTCTTTTATCCTACACTAGAATTACGGTTTCTATCTTGAGTATTCGTACAACTGAAGGCCGTCGCCGAGCCTTCTCCAACTGCAGTGCTCACCTCATTGCCATCCTCTGTGCCTATGGGCCCATCATCACTGTCTACCTGCAGCCCACACCCAACCCCATGCTGGGAACCGTGGTACAAATTCTGATGAATCTGGTAGGACCAATGCTGAATCCTTTGATCTATACTTTGAGGAATAAAGAAGTAAAAACAGCACTGAAAACAATATTGCACAGGGCAGGTCAGATTCCTGTTAGTAAGAGCAGATAAATGGGTGTATGGCTTTGGAATTCCTTCTGCTTTTACATATGAAATTTCACTTTGGAATCTTCATGTGTGACAACAACTTTGAAATTTTCAGCAGGTGCTGAATGATATGGACCACAACACTATAATACATTATCTTTTTGCATATTTTATTTTATTGTATTATCTAAGTTCTGCCTCTTCGCCTATCTTCAAAGTAATACAGTCTTGGTTATTATTACTTTGCCTTTCTTCTTTAGAGAATTCCCTGTCCCTGGAAGGAAGGTCTTTTCTATCATGCTTTTTTTTTTTTTTTTTT